TACTATATATAAATGTATATATATATATATATATATTAATTATATATTATTATATACTATATATATAATAACAATAATAATAATAATAAATTATTAATAATTTATTATTATTATTATTATTATTATTATTATTATTATTATTATTATTATTATTATTATTATTATTATTCTGTTGGTGCAACAAAGCAAGAAAGCTATTGATTTGGCGTCAACACGCTGAGGCTTCCGTCCAGCAGTGGACCGACAGTAGCTGTTGATGAGCCAATTACTACGCTAGGTCTCTAAATACTGTAGGCCTACTAGATAGACCTAGGTTAGGCTCTAGCAAGAGCTGCATCGTTCCTGTAGTACTAGCTTGAGTTGGCCTAGACTATTTCCACCTAGGCCCAGTATACTACTACTATGAGTATTAGTTTGCCTATATATATCGTCGTGCGTAGTCGTTTTTCATTATTTCTTTTAAACTTTTTTTTTCTTGTTGTAAAATATCACAACATCGGTTTTAGCATATTTTATAGAATCATCTGAAAGTTCGTCAAAGTCGAAAACCACTCGCAACCATCCTTTTTCGCAAAATTCGAAGCGATTTCGAAAACGAAGCGCATGCCTATTGTGAATTCCATGGGTCTCTGATAAAGTATAGAACAATCAGTGACCTATTTGCAGTGAAGTAAATCTAAAACGTATTCATAAAGTATGATGATCTGACAGAATTCAAAAACGTGCACAATATAATAGTTAAACCAACTTTAAATTATCGAACAAAAACGTGCGTGTTGATATTTCAATTGGTTTAGAAATTGGCTATGCTTTCAAAAAGTATTTTAGTGCATCATGCACCGTGGTACAAAGTATGCGTAAACACCTGAATGAACACAAACAGCCTTGATGTATTCAAAAGATACGAAGCTGATCATGACTTTTTTTTTTCATCGTACTTTTAAAAATTTAAGTAGGAATTTTTAAGTTATATTTTTAGATCTATAGGCCTAATGAACGTTATGTTTTTTGCGTGATCATTTGTTGTCTGCATGGATAATAGCAATAATGTACATTTTTTCACTAACAATTTACATTACTGCTCTTTCAACATGTCCTAGTGCGTGACACAAAGAAGTTAAGAAAAAAAAAGTATGCATGTTTAAGAGCAAATAGTCAAAGTATAACAAACAGATGGCATATTTATGTTCTACGACACTGCATAAAGTTGGACAGTTTCCTAAAGTTGCAAAATTATATATATATAAAGTTACAAAGAAAGAAAAGGTGCAAGATTTTGATACTAAAGTCAGCTTTCATAGGTCTATGTGACACAAACCAAAGGTAAATAATAAGAAAAATTCATGATAATCAAATAGAATTTTAAGAAAGCATTTGTATTTTTGTCCACCAAGAAAATCTTGTGCAAGCAAGAAGTGAGATCTGGTAGCAAAATATTCTTAATGCGAACATTTAGCAGAGCATTTCTAAAATGATTATTGCTATTATTCTGATAATGTATATATTATAATGTTTGTTATCGGTAGGTTCACAAAGCCAATCAGCACATACACTGTGTAAAAGGATTTGGCGTACATTCATTCATATTTATCGCTTAATTTATTATAAAACATTTGCAAGTTTTGCGCCAAATTCTAGAACCATAACAACCATTGTCGAACAGATGCTTATTAAAAGTATAGTCATGTTTCTGTCGCTAGACTTATTATATATGTTTATGTTATGTTTGGTGTTGCGCACATGTTTTTAAAATGTTAGTTATAACCGGTAGTTAAAGCTTATTCATTTGTGAAAAATACTGGGCTTGATGAAATAACATCAATTTTGTAGAGTATTGTTTATAAAAGATATTATTTATTATTGTTTATAATCCTTAATAATATTAACGAGCTGGCTTGACGCACTAGACCTAATTGTGTTATATGACAATTATGTTGTTTATTTTTTTTATTGTTTTCAATCAAACAATTTGAAACTTACCTTTTATGCAAAAGTTCTCTTCATTTTTGTACATTTTATTATTTCCTTTTTTAGGAAAATGGAATACATTCGGCTGTCCTTTTGCACATTTATTTGTGTACATCTTAGTATAATCTTCAATACAACTAGTGCAGGGATATCAACAACACCACCACCACCAACAACAGTCTCCAGTATGCGTACAACTACTGAAGCCACACCAACACCACCACCACCACCAACAACAACAACAGTCTCCAGTATGCGTGCAACTACTGAAGCCGCACCAACACCACCACCACCAACAACAGTCTCCAGTGAGCTTACAAATAGTGAAGCCACACAATCACCAACAGTTGGAGACACCACACCATTACTTGACACTGATGGTAACGGAGGCAAAGGATTATCTGGTGGTGTTAAAGCTATCATTATTGCTTTTTCAGTTGCAATTCCTTGCAGCTTTATAACAATTGTGATTGTGTTAGTATGTTATATATTAAAGCAAAAAGTGGCTCCGTCAGGGACGGCGCTAGCGGGGGATCCAGGGGAGCAAAGGACCCGCCGTCGGGAATCTCTGGACCTCCCGCTTTGACCCATCTTTCGGGGAAACCCATCCAGTTTGTCGTGGAAATATTAAACCTCGGGCGCCGAAATTATCCTTTTTAAAAAAAAGAATTAACACAACATTTTATTATCTTGTAATAAGAAAAAAATCCCCGGCAGATCTAATTTTCCCCCGACGGGAGGGGGTAGCCTTTCCCGACGGGGATGGGGCACAGACCCCCCCCCCCTTGTCAGGGAGCTTGGACCCCTCGTAGTGGAATTCCTGGCGCCGCCCCTGGGCCCTGTCAAGTCAGGGGCTTAAATAGAAGCTTATATACTATGTGCAAAAACATTTAACCCCAGAATGTGTTAGATATTTTAAATATTTAGTTGTGGTAGTAGTAATAGTTCTAGTTGTTTGCAGTATTACATTTATTTAAGGTGAGAATTTTGTATACCTTGTTTCGTGAACTTATATTTTTAATGATTGTCAGAGGAGAGCGGAAAAAAAAACATTTTGTTTTCTTATTTAGCAAATAGTTTTGCCAAATGATTCAGACGGAGGACAAAATAAATTG